TTTTTGCATAACTTGTGATATGTACTTTTTCATTTTTGCCACAGAAATCTATATTTCTTTATTTATGTAGACAAATTCCATTCATACATATTAATGACCATTGAATTAATATTGTAAATGTAATTTAATCGCCATCGCCTGTCGCTTTAAATCTAGTTTTGAGTGTTTGCTTAATAGAAACATTACAATTTTTGATTGCCAATTTAACTTGTCACACAATTCTTAAATGCAACGTTATTTGGTGTCTTAACAATCTATTAACTCTTACAACACGTTCTTAACATTTTTTCTTGTTGTTTGTTTTTTTTTTCATATACTTCTCTGTCTCTCTCTCTCTCTTTAAGCCACGATTTTGGTTCAATATTTTGTTGCCAATAACACCACCTAACTCTAGACGAAAATAAAAAAACATAAAATTTAAAGTTAGTTTTTTGCGAAAAAATGTAACATGTATGTTTGGGGCAACATTTTTAAGCCAATTTTTTTGAGTGTTGTATATCTAAATAAAGTCTAAACCACAAATGTAAAAATGGCTAAATTTAACGACTAAATAAATGTAAATAAATTGATAGAAAACCGAAAATGCTAACAAAAACAAACACCAAATACAACACTAAACTTGGAAAATTAATTACTTCTTCAATGTAAACTGAACTTGTATTTAAGTAAACAACATGCTTCCGTTTTATTAGTGAACCGTTTTTTCTTTAACATATTTTTTCTCGCATTTTACTCGTTCGAAGAGTTAAGAGAAATAAGTACATATGTATGTGTTTGTGGCTAGCAAAAAAATAAACAAACAAGCAACAAGCAAAATATCAGCCTCATAATACTACACATGGCAACAAACGTAAAAATTGCACTTGCTTGCCACTTGCAACTATCACAGATTCACATTCATACTTGCCACCACCATTAATACCAACTATTTATAAGAAAAAACGGCAAATATCGGTTGAAAAAAAAAAGAAAACAAGTTAGAGTGCTATATTCGGCTATGCCGAATCTTAAATACCCTCCACCAGCAAGCTACTTTTTATTGAAACCCATTTAACTATCTAATTTTTAGATAACTTGGCAAAATTTATGTTTCCTTATTGAGGGTACTAACATTTATGCATGTGTCAAACTAATTTTAATTAGGTCGAGAAAAATGTATATTAATATGGGAGCTAAGACAACCTATGGACCGATCCGGAAGAAAAAATCCGTAGAATGATTTATATACACAAAATACACATTTATGTCGAATTTTATCCCGATAACTTTGATTGTTAATGTGCATTTGAGTAATTTTCGGAAATGGTCCTTATATGGGAGTTGTGACCAATTATCAACCGTTAAGGAAAAAATTTCGGACCTTATATGGGAGCTATGACCAATTATGGGCCTATCCGGAAAAAATTTAGTGGAATAATTCATATTTATACGAAATATATTTATGTCGAATTTTATCACGATAGCTTTATTTGACAATGAAATATGTATTTTTAAGTGATTTTCGGAAATGGGGTTATATGGGAGCTATTACCAATAATGGACCGATCCGTAACAAAATTAGTAAAATGATTTGTATGTATACAAAACATATTTGTGTCGAATTTTATCCCGATATCTTTATAATTCAATGAAATATATGCGTTTAAGTGATTTTCGGAAGTGGACTTTATATGGGAGCTATGACCAATTATGGACCTATCCGGAAAAAATTTCGTAGAGTGATTTATATTTAGACTAAACATATTTGTGTCGAATTTCATCAAGATAGCTTTATATGACAATGAAATATGAGCTTTTAAATGATTTTCGGAAGTGGGGTTATATGGGAGCTATGACCAATAATGGACCGATCCGTAACAAAACTAGTAAAATGATTTGTATGTATACATAACATATGTGAGTCAAATTTTATCCCGATATCTTTATAATTCAATGAAATATATGCGTTTAAGTGATTTTCGGAAGTGGACTTTATATGGGAGCTATGACCAATTATGGACCTATCCTGAAAAAATTTCGTAGAGTGATTTATATTTACACTAAACATATTTGTGTCGAATTTCATCAAGATAGCTTTATATGACAATGAAATATGAGCTTTTAAATGATTTTCGGAAGTGGGCCTTATATGGGAGCTATGACCAATAATGTACCGATCCGTAACAAAATTAGTAAAATGATTTGTATGTATACATAACATATGTGAGTCGAATTTTATCCCGATATCTTTATAATTCAATGAAATATATGCGTTTAAGTGATTTTGGGAAGTGGACTTTATATGGGAGCTATGACCAATTATGGACCTATCCGGAAAGAATTTCGTAGAGTGATTTATATTTAGACTAAACATATTTGTGTCGAATTTCATCAAGATAGCTTTATATGACAATGAAATATGAGCTTTCAATGATTTTCGGAAGTGGGCCTTATATGGGAGCTATGACCAATAATGGACTGATCCGTAAAAAATTTCGTAGAATGATTTGTATGTACACAAAACATGTTTAACTCGAATTTTATCACAATAGCTTTATTCATCAATGAAATATGTGCGTTTAGGTGATTTTCGGAAGTGGACCTTGCATGGGAGCTATGGCCAATTGTGGACCGACTGAGATCTGCGTTGACAGTATGATTTCTGTTCACATTATATTTGCATGTGCAAAATTTTGTGTTGATACCGATATATTTGAGGGAGTTATTAGCGATAAACTAATTTCCGGGAATATATACCTTTGTATGGGGGCTATGGGAAATATTGAATCGATTGTAAAGATTTTCAACACAATTAATCACTGCCATGAAAAAATAATGTGTGACAAAATTCATCGATATATCTTTGGTAGTTTCTGAGAAAACTTCAAAAGAATGATGAAAAAAACGTAATTTTTTTCGAGGTAGTCTGAAATTTTTACTCATAGCTTTTTACGTTGTGAACCGATTTTGCTGATTTTCAATACCAAACTGCTTAGGATAACAATAAATATTTTGGGTGAATTTGGTTGATTTCCTTTGCTTAGTTTTAACGTGAGCGTGTTTTACACAGACAGACAGACAGACAGACGGACAGACGGACAGACGGACAGACGGACAGACGGACAGAGGGACATAGCTAAATCGACACAGAATTTCATAAGGACCCAGAATATATATACTTTGTTGGGTCTTAGATGAATATTTCTTGGTGTTACACACGGAACGACAAACTTATATATACCCTTTATCACCACTGATGGTGGTGGAGGGTATAAAAACATTCAAACAACAAATACTTGGAGATCGTGTAGAAAATCATGTTTGTTCACATGTTTATTGGCGGCGCAATGAGATCGATTACAACACACTGAAAAACACAACAACCATCCAACCAAACCGATCAACAGACAAACAAATAAACTGCAATAAATAAAAACAAACAAAAAATAAAACAGTAAAAGAAAAAATATTGCAAAAAAAAAAACAACAAGCGAAAAAATAATGAAATCAAGAGGAAAAAACTTAAATGATCAAGATCAAAAACATTGATCGTGTGTTTGATTAGAAATCTGTGCAACAAAGAAGTGCAATAAAAAGATGCACATACAGTTGTACGTATTGCATTAGTGGCGAATATTTTTTTTTATTTGCTTCTGTTGTTATTGTTGGTTTTAAAGAATTTAATGATCTTTTTTTTAGGGGCAGAGTATCGCTTTTTAACCAGATAATATTTATACACAATAAAACCGTATTAATAAAAACTATTTGATTTCATTGCTATAACTAACTAATTTTTGTTTTAGAAAATACAGTAAATCTAAAAAGAGAATGTGAATTAAATTTTTTACAATCCGGACTTTATTTAAATCAACATCATGGAAAATAGTCGAAACTATATCATGCACTATATTCAAAAGTAGACAATATAGTAGACTGACTATAGCAGGGTCCTGAATATATCCTAGACTATAATCTTCTAATCTATGTATATTCTGTACTGTAGTCTATTCTATAATCTGAATTCAAGTCTAAATTATAGCTTTTACTTCAGTCTAGATTTATATCATATAGATACTGTTTATGTCAAGAACATTATTTAATTTGAATTTATTTTTATTATTATATTTATTATTATTTTAATTGCCCCTAATCTAATTACCACCAGTATACTGGAAATCAATACATTTGGTGGTTGTTTTCTTATGATTATCTTAATCTCTTTGTTCTCTCTCTCTCTTTAATTCGCCTTATATCATTACTTCTTATTTATGCTTATTACTGATGCAATTATAAATATTCAGTTCAGTTGTTCTGTGACGATCAAACAATAAAATATTATAAAGTGAAAGCGAAAGTGTTGAAAAATAAATTAAACCTGTTTTAATTACAACAACAAATCCTCTATTGTGTTTTCTTTTCCTTCTGGAGTGCTACAACAAAGTGATATATTTTTCAACAAGTGATTATATATATTTTTGCAATATTTAAAGTCAAGGTATTTGTACCCCTATCCCCCCTATAATCATTTTTGGTCCTTCGAGCCGGATAAAAACCCCCTAATAAATTTCAAATATTTTATTTTTAAATATTGCAAAACCCCTTAACCCCAGTGATAAAGTGAAAAAAAAAAAAAAAATTGAAAAATTGCTGCCGAAAACCCCAGTGAAAAAGTGAAAAATAAATTGAAAAATTGCTGCCGAAAACCCCCTAAAACCCCAGTGATAAAGTGAAAAATAGTGCTGACGAAGATTCCCTAAAACCCCAGTGACAAGCCCCCCTAAAGTGAAAAAGTGTTTTAAAAAATTGCTGCCGATAATCTCCTTAACCCCAGTAATAAATCCCCCAGGCTAAAAAGTAGAAAATTAAAGGTGTGTGGAAAGATTGCTGCCGATAACCCCCTGGTCGAGGTAAATTTTATAAAGAGGACAACTAAGGAGTTCCCAACAACAACAAAAGTAACCCCGTTTGAAAGGAAATTATTTAAAAGGTAATACTAGACCCTTGAACTATTCAACGAATAGTAATAATAACAATAATCGCGATTCACACCCCTCACAAACTAATAGCAATCCTGTTGATAACCCAACAACTTCAGCTGCCGCTGCTGCAAGTTCACGTCAAGCGTATTCAACGCAACTACAGTCCACAACACATAACTCTGTTATCCTTGGAACAGCTTTAGTTGATGTTTGTGTAGGAGATGTGCGTTGTACAGTAAGAGCTCTTATCGATTCAGCCTCCGAAGCCACTTTTATTTCTAAAAAATTACAATCTTCTCTGTCAATCCCCACAAAAACTTCTCATACTACTATAACCGGTCTTAGCGGTTCTTTATCTGCCACTGCAACTCGAATTTGCACTATCACTATAAGTTCACCTTTAGAAAAACTCTTTAAAACGACAACTGATGCATTCGTTGTCAATAAACTAACAGGAGACTTACCCTATTACGAACTCTCTACAATTATGAGTACCAAGTTTTCTGATTTACCCTTAGCTGATAGCTACTCTTCTAAAACATCGAATGTTGAAATTTTGATTGGTTGTGATGTTTACCCTAAAATTCTTAGAGATGGAATCCGTTGGGATTATAATAGATCCCTCGTGGCTCAGCGTACCATTTTCGGATGGATAATCTCAGGAAAGTTAAACTCTCCTGCTCCTCTTTTAAACTCTGTCTCATCATATATGAATCATATCGACTTAAACTCACAACTCACTAAATTCTGGGAACTCGAAGAAGTTTATGAAAAACCAGCCCAATCTAATGAAGATCTCTTCTGCGAGAACTTATACAAAAATACAACGTTTAGAGACGAAAATGGTCGTTTCGTGGTTTCCCTGCCCTTTAAATCTGAATATTCCAATAATATTCCCCTTGGCAACTCTCGCAACTCAGCTTTATCCCAATTTCTCAGAAATGAGAGCAGACTCACGAAGAACCCTAAATTAAAACATGATTATGATAAAGTAATCGAAGAATATGCTATATTGCACCATATGATTCCCGTAAAACCCGATTTATCTGCTCCTTTTAACTCCTCATACTATTTACCCCATCATTCTGTGCTCAAACCCGAATCTACAACTACTAAACTTCGTGTTGTATTCAATGCCTCTAACCCTACTTCGTCAGGATTAAGTCTAAATGACGTTTTATACCCCGGACCAGTTTTACAACAAGATTTAACTGTCCTTATAACCCGTTGGCGATTATTCAAATACGTTTTTAATGCCGACATCGAAAAGATGTACAGGCAAATACTAATTAACCCACAACACGCCCCATATCAAAGGATTTTATTCCGCAGTTCTTCTGAAAAAGAACCCCAAGATTTTGAGCTACAGACTGTAACATTTGGAGTAAACTGTGCTCCATATTTAGCCCTGAGAACTCTTCTCGAACTTGCTGAATCCTGTAATGACGATTACCCCGAAATCTCTATCATACTCAAAGAGAATATGTATGTCGATGACGTACTAGCAGGATCCCATGACCTTTCTTTAGCCTTAAAATCAAGAGATAATCTAATCAAAATTTTGAACTCTGCTGGTTTTCCCCTCCGTAAATGGATCTCAAATGAAAAATCTCTACTACAAGGCTTAGAACCCGAACATTTACTTATGTCTGATACCCTAGCGCTCGAAGATACAATAACAACTAAAACATTAGGACTCCGCTGGAATGCGAGTCAAGATTATTTCTATTTTAACCCCGTAAATCAGCCTATTCGAAATAATATCACCAAACGAACTGTTTTGTCAGATATTGCAAGGTTGTTTGACCCCGCAGGTTGGCTTGCCCCAAAGATCATAATCGCAAAAATGATAATGCAACAGATCTGGAAAGATCAAATCGATTGGGATGAAACCCTCAAGCCAGGCACTTTACGAAGTTGGCTTTCGTTTTTAGACGATTACCTGAACATTAGAATGATAAAAATACCCCGATTTGTGAATTATAACCCCTCATACAATATAGAACTTCACGGTTTTTGTGATGCTTCTGAAAAAGCATATGCTGCTACCCTATATCTTCGGACTACAAGTGAAAATGGTCAAGTATCTACTCATTTACTCCTTGCCAAAACTAAAGTTGCCCCAGTAAAATTCGTTACTCTTCCCAGAAAGGAACTATGTGGTGCTGAATTGTTAGCCAAATTGATTTCAACATTTCTGTCTCAAATTAATCTTGATAAATGTGATCTACATCTCTGGACAGATTCAACTATTGTATTATCATGGCTTCAAAAACACCCTTCACATTGGACTACATTTGTCGCCAATAGAATCACGTCTATAATAGATAAAGTTGGAAATGACAAATGGCGTCATGTTTCCTCTAAAGATAATCCAGCCGATTTAGGATCTCGAGGACTCACTGCGAAAGATTTGATAGGTAACGATCTATGGTGGCATGGGCCAACGTGGCTTAAACTCCCCAGTTCCGAATGGCCATCGGTTATACCTGTTATAGATACTCACGAAGAAATTAGACCCGTCAAAACTCATCTAAATCAGAATTCTGAAGATATATTAACCCGGTTTTCTGATCTCTCTCGGGCAATGCGTGTAATTGCTTATATATATCGATTTTATCATTCTACTCACCCACGTTATAAAACCACATATAATTATCCCTCTCGCACTATTCAACAGACAGAAATAAGATTTGTTAAACTTCGCTTAGTGGTTTCTTGTCAAAAGTTTTACTTTCCCGAATATACACTGCTTTCTAATAGACAAAAGATTCCCAAGAAAAGCCCCTTATTAACATTTAACCCGTTTATTGATTCGAATAATATAATGAGAATCAATGGTAGACTTTCTCGAAGTGAAATGCTATCTTATGATGAACGATTCCCTAAGATTCTTCCCTACTCAGGCCGTTTTACCCGGTTATATTTAGAACTTTTACATAAACTTACGATACATGGAGAAAATTCTCTTCTAATGCGTCTAGTACGTTTAGAGTTTTGGGTACCAAAATTGAGAAATCTGGTAAAAACTGTCATATTCAACTGCAAGACTTGTGTTTTATTTAAAAAACGGCAAAGTCAACAGATTATGGCTTCACTTCCCCCTGAAAGAACATATCTTTCACGCCCTTTTTTCAATACCGGTTTAGATTTCGCTGGCCCATATAATATAAAGTCATTTTCTGGCCGCGGATGTAAAGTATCTAAAGGTTATGTATTAGTGTTTGTATGCTTTGCTACGAAAGCAATTCATTTGGAAGCCACCAGTGAACTCTCAACCCAAGCCTTTTTAGCGGCATTCTCCCGTTTTTTCTCTCGCCGAGGCACTCCACAAGTTCTATACTCTGATAATGGCACTGCATTTGTAGGCGCAGCTAATATATTTAATAAAACCCAACAGAACCTCTTATCCCAAGTACGATCTAATATCATATCTCAAAACGCGTTTCAAAACATTGAGTGGCGTTTTAACCCTCCTGGAGCTCCTCATATGGGAGGACTCTGGGAGGCAGGTGTGAAAAGTTTTAAGTCACATCTCAAGAAAATTACCCATGTACAATCCTTTACTTTTGAAGAATTCACTACTATGCTTACTAGAATCGAAGCTTGTCTTAACTCAAGGCCATTAAGTCCAATGAGTGACAACCCCACTGAAATAAGCGCTTTGACACCCGGCCATTTTCTAATTGGCGCCCCTCTGCTTTCACCCCCGGAACCAGACTTTTCTTGTCGACCACTTAGTTATGCCAACAGATGGCAAAAATTGAATATATTACACCATCATTTTGCTTGCAGATGGAAAGAAGAGTATCTGAAAGAATTGCATAAACGAATCAAATGGAAATATCCCCAAAGAAACTTTGTTGTCGGTGATCTCGTTGCAATCAAGAAAGATCATCTTCCCCCAAATGAATGGAAACTTGGTCGTATACAAAGGGTTTCCCCCGGTCAAGACAAGAAAGTTAGAGTAGCAGAAATTATTACCTCAACTGGTCCTATAACTAGGCCGATTGTTAAATTAGTTCTTCTTCCCCCCGCTAATGATGAATCAAACTAATAATTCCCCTATCTTTACAGCATTATGCCTAACAGACGCCAACAAAGAAATTTATCTCCAGTAACAGAAAGACGAAGGTATCCAAGACATCAACCTGATTGCCGTTTTTGCAAAAGAGATCATCCCTTGCGTAGGTGCTACAAATTCAACAATTTGAACATTACGAACAAGCTAAGAGTAGTCCGGCAATACAAATACTGTCAGAACTGTCTGGCTCACAGCCATGTCTTAGCAAGGTGCCGTAGTACAGAAAGATGTCGAAAATGTCAACAGAAGCACCACACCCTTTTGCACCACCATGAACGCGTCAGGCCTACCAGAAACAACAACCCCAACCCCGAAGTCTATATACCCCAGTCAACTATTTTGAGACCAACGATTCTTGTCAGCATCCAGCTCGGTGGTAAATGGCGTGACGTCCGTGGCATTATTAATCCGTCTATGGAAACGAGCCAAATAGCAGAATTCCTACCAACCCGGTATCGCATACCTATTGAAAGGTCCGGCTCTAATCGAGTCTGTAAGGTCACTTTTAGGCCACACTTTGTAACACGACCTGTGATCTCTTTGAATGCCATCGTGACTAAAGAATTGCCTCAGTACCCTCGGTCCCAAGAGCTGGATGCAGCGGTAGCCGAACAATACAAGAATATACGTTTAGCCGACCCCAGATTCCACAACCCCTCGGAGATTAACCTCATTCTAGGCGCTGATATTTACCCCCATATAATAAAATCCGAAATTCGTCCAGCAACTCGTACTTCCCCCATGGTCCAGGACACCGTATTAGGCTGGATCCTAATCGGAAAAGTTCGCCGACCATCAACCTAATTCTCAACAATTTTATATTTTTATGAATATTTAAAAATGTTGTTAAAATGTATTAAAAAAGTATTAATGAATTGAATTAATGAACTGTATTATTATTATTATTATTATTATTGTTACTATTATTGCAAAAAAAACATAAAAAACCCATGAATTATTTTTAAACTAAATGAATTTTCTAAAAATTAAAACTTTTTTTTGTATATATTTATATTTCAATTATTAATCTGAATTCTAAATAATTGATTTGTACTCATTTATATTTGCCAATACTGTAATTTTATCTAAAACAAGATTGAATCTTTTAGTTTGTTTTTTTTTTACTTTCCTATTCTTTTTTATTTTGTAAAACTTTGAATTCTATAAAAGATTTTCTGTAATTCCAATTTGCCGCAAATTATTTTGAATTGAATTTAACAATGAAATTGTATCAATAATATTGGAATTTCCATTCTGCTCTTTTGCGTTACCGCAAGGGGGCCGGAATGTTTATGTCAAGAACATTATTTAATTTGAATTTATTTTTATTATTATATTTATTATTATTTTAATTGCCCCTAATCTAATTACCACCAGTATACTGGAAATCAATACATTTGGTGGTTGTTTTCTTATGATTATCTTAATCTCTTTGTTCTCTCTCTCTCTTTAATTCGCCTTATATCATTACTTCTTATTTATGCTTATTACTGATGCAATTATAAATATTCAGTTCAGTTGTTCTGTGACGATCAAACAATAAAATATTATAAAGTGAAAGCGAAAGTGTTGAAAAATAAATTAAACCTGTTTTAATTACAACAACAAATCCTCTATTGTGTTTTCTTTTCCTTCTGGAGTGCTACAACAAAGTGATATATTTTTCAACAAGTGATTATATATATTTTTGCAATATTTAAAGTCAAGGTATTTGTACCCCTATCCCCCCTATAATCAGATACCATGATAATACGTATTCTGACGCACAGGAATACAGGCATATACATATACAGTCTAGTCTACAGTCTAATATATAGTCTAGTCAATAGTCTAGTCTATAGTCTAGTCAATAGTCTAGTCTATAGTCTAGTCTATAGTCTAGTCTATAGTCTAGTCTATAGTCTAGTCTATAGTCTAGTCTATAGTCTAGTCTATAGTCTTTTCTATAGTCTTTTCTATAGTCTAGTCTATAGTCTAGTCTATAGTCTAGTCTATAGTCTAGTCTATGGTCTATTCTGACACACAGGAATACAGGCATATACATATACAGTCTAGTCTACAGTCTAGTCTATAGTCTAGTCAATAGTCTAGTCTATAGTCTAGTCAATAGTCTAGTCTATAGTCTAGTCAATAGTCTAGTCTATAGTCTAGTCTATAGTCTAGTCTATAGTCCAGTCTATAGTCTAGTCTATGGTCTAGTCTATAGTCTAGTCAATAGTCTAGTCTATAGTCTAGTCTATAGTCTAGTCTATAGTCTAGTCTATAGTATAGCCTATGGACTAGTCTATAGAATAGTCTACGGACTAGTTTATAGTCTAGTCTATAGTCTAGTCTATAGTCTAGTCTATAGTCTAGTCTATAGTCTAGTCTATAGTCCAGTCTATAGTCTAGTCTATGGTCTAGTCTATAGTCTAGTCAATAGTCTAGTCTATAGTCTAGTCTATAGTCTAGTCTATAGTCTAGTCTATAGTCTAGTCTATAGTATAGCCTATGGACTAGTCTATAGAATAGTCTATGGACTAGTTTATAGTCTAGTCTATAGTCTAGTCTATAGTCTAGTCTATAGTCTAGTCTATAGTCTAGTCTATAGTCTAGTCTATAGTCTAGTCTATAGTCTAGTCTATAGTCTAGTCTATAGTCTAGTCTATAGTCTAGTCTATAGTCTAGTCTATAGTCTAGTCTATAGTCTAGTCTATAGTCTAGTCTATAGTCTAGTCTATAGTCTAGTCTATAGTCTAATATATAGTCTAGTCAATAGTCTAGTCTATAGTCTAGTCTATAGTCTAGTCAATAGTCTAGTCTATAGTCTAGTCTATAGTCTAGTCTATAGTCTAGTCTATAGTCTAGTCTATAGTCTAGTCTATAGTCTAGTCTATAGTCTTTTCTATAGTCTTTTCTATAGTCTAGTCTATAGTCTAGTCTATAGTCTAGTCTATAGTCTAGTCTATGGTCTATTCTGACACACAGGAATACAGGCATATACATATACAGTCTAGTCTACAGTCTAGTCTATAGTCTAGTCAATAGTCTAGTCTATAGTCTAGTCAATAGTCTAGTCTATAGTCTAGTCAATAGTCTAGTCTATAGTCTAGTCTATAGTCTAGTCTATAGTCCAGTCTATAGTCTAGTCTATGGTCTAGTCTATAGTCTAGTCAATAGTCTAGTCTATAGTCTAGTCTATAGTCTAGTCTATAGTCTAGTCTATAGTATAGCCTATGGACTAGTCTATAGAATAGTCTACGGACTAGTTTTAGTCTAGTCTATAGTCTAGTCCTATAGTCTACGTCTATAGTCTAGTCTATAGTCTAGTCTATAGTCCAGTCTATAGTCCTAGTCTATGGTCTAGTCTATAGTCTAGTCAATAGTCTAGTCTATAGGTCTAGTCTAGAGTCTAGTCTATAGTCTAGTCTAATAGTCTAGTCTATAGTATAGCCTATGGACTAGTCTATAGAATAGTCTATGGACTAGTCTATAGTCTAGTCTATTAGTCTAGTCTATAGGTCCATAGTCTATAGTCTAGTCTATAGTCTAGTCTATAGTCTAGTCTATAGTCTAGTCTATAGTCCTAGTCTGTATAGTCCTAGTCTATAGTCTAGTCTATAGCGAGTCTTAGTCTAGTCTATAGTCTAGTCTATAGTCTAGTCTATAGTCTAGTCTATAGTCTAGTCTATAGTCTAGTCTATAGTCTAGTCTATAGTCTAGTCTATAGTCTAGTCTATAGTCTAGTCTATAGTCTAGTCTATAGTCTAGTCTATAGTCTAGTCTATAGTCTAGTCTGTAGTCTAGTCTATAGTCTAGTCTATAGTCTAGTCTATAGTCTAGTCTATAGTCTAGTCTATAGTCTAGTCTATAGTCTAGTCTAGTCTATAGTCTAGTCTATAGTCTAGTCTATAGTCTAGTCTATAGTCTAGTCTATAGTCTAGTCTATAGTCTAGTCTATAGTATAGCCTATGGACTAGTCTATAGTCTAGTCTATAGTCTAGTCTATAGTCTAGTCTATAGTCTAGTCTATAGTCTAGTCTAGTCTATAGTCTATAACTAGACTAGACTAGACTATAGACTAGACTATAGACTAGACTATAGACTAGACTATAGACTAGACTATAGACTAGACTATAGACTAGACTATAGACTAGACTATAGACTAGACTATAGACTAGACTATAGACTAGACTATAGACTAGACAATAGACTAGACTATAGACTAGACTATAGACTAGACTATAGACTAGACTATAGACTAGACTATAGACTAGACTATAGACTAGACTATAGACTAGACTATAGACTAGACTATAGACTAGACTATAGACTAGACTATAGACTAGACTATAGACTAGACTATAGACTAGACTATAGACTAGACTATAGACTAGACTATAGACTAGACTATAGACTAGACTATAGACTAGACTATAGACTATACTATAGACTAGACTATAGACTAGACTATAGACTAGACTATAGACTAGACTATAGACTAGACTATAGACTAGACTATAGACTAGACTATAGACTAGGCTATAGACTAGACTATAGACTAGACTATAGACTAGACTATAGACTAGACTATAGACTAGACTTTAGACTAGACTATAGACTAGACTATAGACTAGACTATAGACTAGTCCATAGGCTATACTATAGACTAGACTATAGACTAGACTATAGACTAGACTATAGACTAGACTATAGACTAGACTATAGACTAGACTATAGACTAGACTATAGACTAGACTATAGACTAGACTATAGACTAGACTATAGACTAGACTATAGACTAGACTATAGACTAGACTATAGACTAGACTATAGACTAGACTATAGACTAGACTATAGACTAGACTATAGACTAGACTATAGACTAGACTATAGACTAGACTATAGACTAGACTATAGACTAGACTATAGACTAGACTATAGACTAGACTATAGACTAGACTATAGACTAGACTATAGACTAGACTATAGACTAGACTATAGACTAGACTATAGACTAGACTATAGACTAGACTATAGACTAGACTATAGACTAGACTATAAACTAGTCCATAGACTATTCTATAGACTAGTCCATAGGCTATACTATAGACTAGACTATAG